GCTAATAGTGCATAGCTTTAATTATTACTTGAATGGCAGTTATCATTTTATAAAATCGATTTGAAATTTACAGTCCGTGTCAATTTTATTAAGTGGTCCAATATTTTATTACTAAAATTACTCTTATTAAATAATGCTGCATTCTTTAATGGGTTTGATCTACTTAATTAATGTAAGACTATGGGTAGTTGTTTGGTTTGGTTTAACACTGTGTAATATAAGTGTAACAAGAGACTTATATGTTATCACATCGTTAGAGTGAGACATGTTATATAAAATGTACTAAGCAAGATGAGACGAAGCATTCGGCTTTTTTCTTACTCAGATCGACTAGTCAAAAACGGATAAAAATGTCTGTAGTATAGTGCTCTCTAGTTTGTTTATGGTATTTTATGTTAGATGTGCAGTATTTTATGTTATTTGTTCTTTAGTGACGTCATCGTTATTGTTTTCTCTCCTAATTAGAAACGTTTATGTACTCCAATATTATATTTAACAATATTAAGCACATTTTAATGCGTTGCGTTTGCAGATATTGTTTTTTTTTATGAAAACTAATTGTTCGAAAAATGAATTCCTATAATAGATATACTATATATTTTGGGGATAGTCGACCAGTTTCGGACCCTCAGGTAAGCGCTGGGGTTGCAAAGGTCGCTTGACCCCTTGATAGGCATCCCCCGTCGGGTCTGAAAGTAGTCGGTCATCCCCGAAATACACATGTAAAACTGTAGCTCCTTCAGTAATATGAAAACATCTCACGAAAGAGAGATCCTTATCTTATAATAAGATCTTCAAATTTTTGCTCTACAATTTCTAAAATTTTTTTTTTAGTGAAATTGTCTATGTTAAAAAATTATTCTTATTTAAAAAAAACATTTATTTTCTTTAAAATACGGTTTCTTGCAATAATTACATTAATTTCATTTTTTTATCAAGTCCACTATTCGCAAACTGGTTTTTAACGTCTGTTTTATAAATAGAGACATGAAAATTATCTATAGATAACAATAAAATAATGAAGTTTATATAAGTTGTCAACTGTACTTCAAAAAGTATCTAAGTATTGTAATGAAACATGTCAATGGGGAATGTACCAAACATTTTCCATTAATTTGTTTAAGTGATATAACTCAGTTAAATTTTATTGTTATGCAAAAATGAACTAACCATTTTCAAGAATGTTACCATTTTGTTATTGTAATAACTTTTTAGAACGAACAAAGAGTGTTTCAATACTGAGATGAGCGTGATGAGTTTTTGGCACATAATATTCAATAATAACAGTAGTGAAGACACCGAGTCCGAAATCCACAGATAACTACATGTTTCAACATTGTTTAATCTTATCTTAATTTAGGGTATTCAATTTAGATACTTGGATAGTATTTTTTAGCTTAGTTTTGTACAGTCAGCGCCATAAATAAAGCGACAGTTTAAACTACTAAATATATCAGAGTAATTAAGCACCGAACAAAGTGATGATAATGGTAAAATGATTGTTATCCCAATTTGTTTAGGTATGGCTTCGATCACATAAACTATAGATGCACATTCTAATACAAAAACAACGGTAAATCGTGTCAATTATACTTATACACGCATGTTTTGATATTGCTATCCAGAAAATAAACAAGTTTATACAATGAATGTTTACATAGAAAAATAACGTAATAATTGATCAAAAAACGTCAATGTACAGATTGTACAGCGTTGTTGTCGCGTCCCTCGCGGTACGTACTCGGTACCTATTCCATACGCTAAGGTTATAGGAAGCTTGTGGAGTCGACATTTATGTAAACATTTTTCTTAATCCATACTTCCATGCTTATACGAAGGTCACTATATAAGTTTTGAGATGCTCGAAATTTAAATTGCTAATATCATTCATATTACATCCTAATAATTACATCGTCAGAAGATTACTTTTACATTCTTCGAATGTCAAGCAAACTACTCGTACTCCTACTGAATGATATTTTTCCAGAGTTAATTATTATTTTTATCTAGGGAGTTAGGCCTGTCCATTGACGATGCTCACCAGCGAAATGTATGGCGCCGCATGATAGGGTAAGCCGACCCCGCGTAACGGGAATGGGGAGCAAAGAAGAATTATTTTTATCTACATTTAAGTTTTGAACCCCGTGATGAAAAAGTACGCAACAAGTTATTAACAGCTCTCGCTTAATGACACCGGAAGTAGTACATACCCTTGCTAGGCAATGGGATCGTTATCACTTGTTTGCCATAATCCCATATCACCAACACCTATAAAATACAATCATTTAATTTCTTACAAATAAGTGATTATTTTTTTCTTTTTAAAAATGATATTATAATAATATTTCAAAACAGTAATAACGACTCCATATCCTCCACACGAGAGTAAGGAGAGCTGGTGCGTGGTATACCCAATTGAAAATAAATGAAAATAGTTGAATACAGAGCAATTTTGACATGAAAAACCATTCATAATATCATAATTTCTTTTTATCGAAAATACGACACTATCCCTTTTTTGCACTTTAAAGTGTAGTTTATGCTCTTTTTACTGCATACTTCAGCATTGTTGAACGTCAAACTACCAACGCGGTCGCAAAGCGACTGTGAGCGCAACTGTGCATACTTCTAATTTAAGCCGAGTTAAGTTGGCGCCATTTTTCGAGTCGTGATCGTGCAATTCGTGCATCTATAGTCTATTGATCTAAGAGGTATGGTATATAAAAGAATCTGCTGTAAAAAAATGTTGTACCTAAGTAATTGATGTTTTCATCACTTTGAACTATTATCAGTTTCAAAGATGAGGATTATTTTTAAACAATCTAAGAAGAATGATCGGAATTCACGCTTTTTAAGATAATATATCTCAATCGTTTGATCTAAAATTTCAAATGTTTATATACCGCTAATATACGTACGTTCTGCGCCTTCACAAGCAAGCTAAAGCTAGATAATATAAAAGGATTAATGAACACCTAATTACAACTTGGCACCTAAATCACTAATTTCGTTTTCATGTAATATAAAAAATATAATTTTACACCAACCCCTAACGGACGACATAGATTAAGTTATAAATTGTATTAATTAAAACATAATTATGATAAATTTAAACTAAAATAAAATACATGAAATGTTAAAAAATAAGTAAGGCCGAGACTCGGGCACAATAAACAAATACATTGGCTGTTTTATATGAGACAGTGGTTGCGCTTCATATTAGTATTAGTATATCTTTTTGTTAGTACATATCGGATTAGAAGCACGAAAAAGTTTTTGTAATTTTGAACCTTATTCCCACAAGTTAGGGTGGTCGTATAGTCCCTTTTTCCTAAATACATGGTAAAAACGTCATTTTTTACATGGTATAAAACAGCATATTATAAGGTTTGAGGTTGGTAGAACGCACATTAGCCAGAGTGACAGTGTTTGGAGGCTCGTTTGCACACTAATATAAAATATATGTGTCTACCTTTACCTATACGTAGAAATGAAGAAATTCCATAGAACACGGTACAGGGACTTACAATAACATGTTTTTTTTTAATTACTGTTTTTTGAGAAAATACCTATACTACAATAATATCGTGAATATGCAATTGTATACAGCCTGCTTTCGCAAATGTGACCATAACTAGGAAATAATAGCCCAAATACATATTAGAAATATTATAGATTTAAAAAAAACTACAAATAAAACCAGATTTGTTACACCCCGTATTAAAACCGGCCATTGAGTAAAAAGTGCAAAAGTAAATAAAAATCATTTTTTAAACAATTGTCTATGGTGTCCGATCATTTATGCAAAACACGGCTCAACTGTGAATGAGAATTATTTTATCTATATATTGTTTGCCATAATAAAAGATTACTTTTATATTTTGCATGAAATTGAAAATTAAATTAATGTAAAATTGAAATAAGTTGGAGATATTGAGCTTACTACTTAATTAATTTTTAGAATACGTAGAAAGGCGATTTTGTAGGGGTTTTACGTAATTGGCAAGTTAATTCCTACATATTAATTATAAAAATGAAGGAAACTTATGAGGAACTTCCCCATAAGTTTCCTTCCTTTTTGTAAATATGTATTCCTAAGATACAAATATTATACCGATATTTATTAAAGATATCTGGCTGTACTAACCTAAGAATTTTATTAAAGTTATAGTTCTAGGCCCGACGGGGATCATTAATCAACAGCTGAAGCGACCTGTTGCACCGGGTCTCTAGAACCATATTCATCGATCCTTCTCGAATTACACACTAGTATAGTATACAAACCTGTACCTTTAATAAATATGAATTTCACCGATGGAAGTTTTTATTCTAATATAAATGTAATTCCTATACATTTTTTCCCTGCAAGTATACCTCCTTCGCTACTGGAAATATTTTAATCAGCTACTCCTATTCATTAACGCTATGAAAGAATAAAGAAACTTATCTTAAGGGAGTTACATTGAAATACATTCTGAATCATATCTCTAACAACTTTTTGGTCTAGCTCAAATATTCCTCCCAAAAACCTCTGATCAGGTTTTTAAACATACTAAATAACACATACTATTTATGGTATTGTGGTGCAGAATTTGAACATCCAGAGCTAATATTTATTAAACATAAACGGGTTTATTCTCGAGTGTATTTCGAAGATACGTCAGGTTTTACAGTTCATAGAGTGACGAATGACATAGTCGCGTCAGGTGCTTAAACTCCTTGAAAGTGAGCCCCTGTCGAGTTCGAAACCAGTCGAGCATCCCCGAAATACAACTGCGTTAGTAAATTAGTTTATTTTTAATAAATATGAATATCTGATTTACAGAAGTTTTTATCCGAAGTTTAGTTAATTATGAAAAAAGGGGGGGTTATTCTAATATCATTACGATTTTAGTCCAATTACAAATTCTAAGACATAAATTAGGTAAAAAAATATTGTTATTAAAAAAAATAGTGTTGTTATACTCATTTACGGAACAATACTCACGCAGCTAGAAAATCTAATCAGCGTCAACTTCATCGTCTTGAGACCTTGGATTGTTAACAAGAACTTCTGAATTCACCGATTGTACTGGAGCTGGGTTCATAATTCTATTCCCATTGACTCTAGACAAATCTAAAACAGGCAATCGGAGTACGTAGTCATTATCCCAACCTCTAGACCTCGATTCAGACCATTGTATCACCCTGAAGTCTGGAGGAGTTTGGCTGGCTGCAGAAGTTGTCGCTATAGAGTTGAGTCTTGGTATCCGTTGAGCTAGGGCTCGTAATCTTGAGTTCTCCGGTCTATCTTGCCGAGTGTCCGGTACGAAGTTTGGTGCGTCAGACCGGCGGGGCTGTTCTTGCCTTTGAGCTACGTTAGACGCGATCATGTGTCGATATCGGGCTATCTCGCATGGCAGAAGAGGTCTGGCATCTCGACCTAGAATTTTTAAAATTTTATTTTAGATATCTATAACTTTAAATCAGACAAAAAATATCTTAAAGATACGATTTATTCCGAAAGGGTTAGTTAAAAAACCCACTGAATAGCTTATTTCATAAACACGATGATATTTAAGTATGGTAAGGGTGATACGCCCCACAAAACCACCAGTAAGAATTACTTGTGATTAAAAATTATTTATCGATATTATTAATACATTACTCTATATAATCATAAACTAAACCTTTGTTTATGCTGTGATCAACATTAATTTATTTCATTTTAAACATAAAAATATACATGAAAAAGACGGGTCTGCGACTTAAACTAGTTAGAAATGGTCGCATACCCATTTCATTTAGTCCTAAAGTTAGAGAGACCTCTAGAAATTTTTGTTCTCTTTGTGTCATGGACAAAATATATGACAATAAAATAAACATAAATTACCTATTCTTTGGACGGTGATCTGCCGTTGGTTTTGTTGGTTTGGTGAGGCTATCGATGATGGATCTAAAGACGTGGTGGGATGGACGATGATGCTGTTCTGTTGCACTCGAGTCGGTGAAGGGAAGTTGAGGGCAAGGAAATCGGGTAACGGTACGCAGAATACGCCTAATTCCTCCTGTGAAATTTAATATAGACGTTTAATATCACAGTTTTTTGACGACGCATTAAATTAATCAATAGAAAAGTGTCAAGCCATGCTATAAAACTAGGACCAAGGAAAATAAAGTGGACTCATTTGATTCATAATATGTTCTAGAACAAATATATTAGAAACAAGAAGACAACGGGGAAGAACGGGGCGGTTTTCAATAAGGCTGATTTCGTTAGAGTACCTCTTTCTCTGTTTTTCTGCATATCTTGTTTCTATCTTCTTGTAATCAATCTACTTACTTACTGGACTGCAACGCACATCACACAGAGAGCACGTATCTAGCCCTACTGAGTTAGTTACCGATGACGAGTAACTTAACGATACATCTACGTTCAATTACTCGTTTAATAAAAAATTCAAAAGCTCCGGTCATCATTCTAATAAAATTTAACTAAAATACAGGCATAAATATGTACTTTTAATTCCTGATTTTTTTATATTTGTTTTGTAATTTATTCATTATGGAAATAAAGAGGCTATAATAATTATAATAACAGGCATAAATAATTATATAGCAAAGAACATAATACGTTAAGTGAGGAGATGTACGTTCCTCAAATCTTTTTATTCGTTAGATCATTTTATTAGTCATCGCAAAGTTAAAATATAAAGATACATAATGCATACTTACAGTAGCATTCGGAGACCTCTCGTTATTATTCTCACTTATATTGAAAAAGGGTTTTCTATCAACTTCAGTGGAAGACGGGCTGTTATTAGATTTTTCTTTACTTTCCTCATTCAGGGGAATGTCGGGGACAACTTGTAAATCTTCTGGTGGGTTTGGTATGTTAACGTAACTTGCTATTATAGACGAAAGTTGATCAAGTACCTAAAAAATGGATAATAGTGCCATCTGTTAGCTAATACAGGAGAGAGTTTTAACAATAGATAGTGAAGAGGAAATAATATAAGGCTTCTTTATTATTTCTCGTGTCAACATTTCTACATCGTGTCTCTCTTGACGAAGACCTTTTCGAGCCGTGGTCAGGCCAGTCTCATTCTACACTTTAGGTAAGAAGCTACAAGTATGGCGGTTATTTCCATACGCAATCACGCGATGGGATGCGTCATCGTCTCGTTGTTTTTCGAACAGATATTTACCTAACATAATAATATGCCGAATGCCTAACTTCTTAGAGTAAGTAAGTTTAATCTATGTACATTAGTATGAGTGAGTCTTAGGAAATGCCAGCTCCTTCTAGCTATAAAGTCCGACTTGTAAAAATATCTGAAAAGATTTACTTACAGAAATAAATATCATTTCATTTCATTTCATCATTTATTTAAGTAAGTGCCTAGCCTAGAATTATTTGAATCGTCATTTGTTTGCAAAAGACTAATTGTAATGGATTTTATTTACAATAATTCTTCTTGCAGATGACATACTAATAATATTCGATGGAAACAGAAGGTCTGAATTACACTTTGCTGTGGCAGAGCAAGGCATATTTATATGATTTGGTGGAGTTGATCTATACTTCTGTCTATTATGTACTGTATGCTGTGATGATCATCCTCTACAGTCTATTCATCTACGTGCCACCACCCTAACATCATGTAACAAATTACCTACATATTTTCTCTCTTTCTACTTTACGAATAAACGAGTTATGGAAGTGAAACTTCTTTAGAATCGTTATGATTTGAAACTCGATGAAACGAAAATACGTCACGATAAAGAAACAAACACATAAATGTATAGGATTAAGTCAGCGAGAGAATGAGATAGAATACATTACACATTATTTTTAATATAATATTTTGACTATGTGAATATTTTTCTTTTTATTTAATACTAGCTGGTACTACTTCGTTCGCGTGGTATTTGAATATAAAAATTAAATGATTTTTCACGTCTATATATATTGACGGGCTTGTTGGTCTAGCGGTTAGTGACCCTGACTGCTAAACCGGAGGTCGTGGGTTCGATTCCCACCCAGAACAAATATTTGTGTGATGAGCACGATCGTTTGTTCTATGTCTGGATGTAATTTATCTATAATATGTATGTATTTAGAAGTATATAAGTATGTTTATCAGCAGTCTGGTTACCATAGCACAGGCTCTGCCTAGTTTGGAATCAGACAGCCGTGTGTGAGGTGTGTGAGGTTATTATTATTATGATTATTATATATCTTGTCTTATAAATTAGATGCTAAAATACTGAGTAAGGAAAAACAATCTTACCTCCTCAGCCACGAGCCTATGTTTAGGATCTTTAACTAGTAACCTTTGTATTAGAAATACAGTATTGTCTGACACTTGTACTGAATTGCCATCCCTGAAAATTAAATTTAGTATTATCAGTATAAAGCTCAGAACAACAGTACTACAAAGAGAAGAAAAAAAGAAACCCTATACAAATCCGTCTGGCCAGGGTGGTATAGTAGGCTAAAACCGGACAAGCCTACTGTTAAATACTGGTGATAATGATGATGAGTATAAAACTCCTGCGCTCAGTGGCCTCAACACGTAAAGGCTCGAATCCAGGTCAGGTGACAAGACTAAGAAATTTTCTGTATCTGTATATATCTTCGTATAACCTTGGCAGACCTACAGTCGTCACAAGACAAGATATTACATGTCGTCAGGGAGTAGTAGCCCAAAGTACGTAGTACTAACTAAAGATTATTTAATTTCAATCAGGTTTACAAAGTTTACCACAGCTGTTTCGCAAAAATCATAAAAAAATCCTCTTAATTTTTCATAAATTCTAAAAATATTTGTTTTTTTTTTAAACTTGCTTTAAGTTGGTGTACTGTTTGTTTAAAACGTAAAAATCGTCCCTATCATGTCTATAGATATTGCAAATACAGATGTAACTAATTCTTAAATAATTGAATCCATACTTATAAATGTAGAAGTGAGTTTGTTTGTTACGCTTTCACGCCTACACCACTACACCGATTTTTTTAATTAATTTACCAATGGAAAGCTACGTTATCAGCGAGTAACATAGACTAACATCAACAACATCAACATCCGGGAATGGACAGGAAACGCAAGTGCTGCCAATCTCTTCGCGAAAAACAAGAAAGAGTTTACACAGAGCTGACTGGCGAACCCTATACCAACCCGTCTGGCCAGCGTGGTATAAAAGGCCAAAACCTCCTTTCTAAGGAGAGGCCTATGTTCAGTAGTGGACTATTAAAGGCTGTTGATGTGATGTGATGATGATGTGACTGGCGAAAATTTGATAACTGACTGCACGGATGGCGTAGTGGTTTAAGCGGTCGCCACGCCGCTTTCTATTACGCCGAGTGTTGTGGGTTCAAACCCCACATGGAACAACACTTTGTGTGATCCACAAATTGTTGTTCTGAGTCTGGGAGTTCTTTGTGTCCGTTTCATGTATGTTTGTAAAGTCCCCCGCGACACAGGATTTATTCCTAGTGCGGGAGTTGTATAAAAAAAAAAAATAGATAGTCAAAGAGACATTTCAAGAAGAAGAACATAGGCTACTTTTTATATTTATATAACTGACATACCGCGGGCGGAGCCGCGTAGAAAAGCTAGTACAAAATTATTCACAAAATTAATTATTTAAAGGTCTTGTCAGTAGTGTTATGTCTTACTTACGGGGGTATATTATAATTGGCAGCTTGTATTCTGCTAAACAGTTGCGCGAGGCTTGTATCACAGAACGGGAACTGCCCATACAACATCGTGTACAACACAACACCTAACGCCCACATGTCAGATGGTTTCCCCAAGTATGGTTTACACATTAAAACGTCTGGAGAAATATAGGCTGGTGACCCTGGAAGGAGAAAGAATGCTGTATGTTTTGAAATTTATGCAAACAAAGATGCAATAGTGACCTTCTTTCTTACCTCTCTGGTCTTTCAATAAATCCCTATCACTTCCAAGGTGCGTCCCAAGACAAAGATTGGTAATGATTACACGTCCCGCCCTCGGGTTTAGTACAATGTTACCCAACTTCAGGTCTCTGTGCACTATGTTCCTCTGAAATGCAGCATCAAATATTTAATGTAGTATGTGTGAATGTTACTACAACTAAAAGACTAACTACTAAGAACCTGTGTACAAACAGCAATTTAGGAAATATGAAAGACTAACGAAAAAACCTAATTAAATAAAAAATAAGTTTTATATTTGTGATTCAAGTTTTTTAATTATGCTGCACAATATAAGCAGCAGTAGACTAGTGGTTAAGGCATTGGACTTGCGATCAAGACGTCGTGGGTTCGAATCCTGACCGAAAAAAATATAAGTATAGATAGTTCAACTCAGTTGTGCGCGCGGCCCTATGTGTGCGTGGGTTTGTAAAGTATTCGTCTTGCTCGGACGACGACTGCCGCGTCACTGCCACACGAATGAAAGTTGTATATTTACGCACACATAGGGCCGCGCGCACAACTGAGTTGAACTATCTATACAAACATTTTTTGTTATTCTTTTTTTAAGGACAAGAATCGAAATCATTGCCCAACATTAGGTAAAGGAGGTACTTATAAATTTTAATAATTTTACCAATAAAACTATATAATCCATTATTTTATTATCTACTAGCTTTTGCCTATGTTAATAAAAGTAGCCTGTGTTACTCGCTAATAATGCTGGCTGGCGCTAATTTCCATTGGTGAAAGAATTTTTAAAATCGGTTCAGTGGTTTAGGAGTGAAGGGGAACGAACGAACAAACTCAGTTTCACATTTGTAATATAAGGATGTATATTTTTTAATGTTACTCTTGAATAATTTACAGTATCAAGAGGAAATAAGAAAAAAGAAATACATTTAGGTAGGTATATGTTATGCTGTGCGCGTACGCTGCTGTGCGTAAATTAGTAAGAACACAGATAAACTTATTTATCTGCAGATTATCTGGTTGAGTCCGTTAAACTGTTTCAGTTCTTACATTAACTAGATAATCCTTATAGGAGGGGAGCCCTAGAAGGGATTACGAGATTTACTCGAGCGTGTCAGATTAACATAGGAGGAATACCTTACACCCAGTTGGGTAACTCCACTATACATAAACCCTACATATAGAGGGGAGAGTCCAGGGCAGCAAATCAGATTAGTTAAAAAAGAATGGAATACTAGAAATAGTCGAGCGTGTAAGATTAAGTTAAGTTGAGTCAATGACATACACATTAGTGTGTATTTAAACAATTTGACGATTTGGTCGTGACATAAAGCAGTGGGAGGGTCACAAAGTTCCAAAAAAACACAAGACCTTGACATTTTTTTTATATTTTAAAGCAAACAATGCAAGAAATGTTCTTTAAATGTCTACATATTTTTTCGTGGCTTTATTTGTCACATTTTGAAAAAAATCAAAAAATAAAATATTTGTAAAAGTCAGATTTGAAATACCCTGCAAAATTATCGTCAGATTTTAGTATGAGAGGAACATCGGGCTGAAATAACGATTTTTTCGAATTTGCAGTTTGCATTTTCGATAATTCGCTACGAGCTCGTGTCGCTTTAAAATCGTCAGACCTTTCAATGGAAGCATTTTTGGAGTCCAAATAACTTATCCCCAAAATATCTGATGCGCTCGAATACATTTTTTTTTTCGATTTCGTCCCCTTACGTTTTTGAAAACCTGTAGAAACTTTTCCCACCACTGGAAGTGGAAACATTTTTTAACTTTTATTCATTCTATTACCAAATCCTTCAAATACAATAGGTCCCCATGACGCTCGAGTAAATCCCCATTTACCATCATGAGCTATTAAACTAGATCTTCTTTACGTAGTCAGATGATAACCTCATCTAACATCATCATCAACAGTATAATATTGCAGTCAAAAGTACAGTGTTGATGTTGACGTGGATACAGGTGCGAGTGACCAGATTTTCCATGGTGTCAAGGAGAGATGGTATCAAGAAGTCCATTAATCCATGTCATCATTGTGTAGAATGGCAATGCTTGTCTTTTTGCAAAGAAAGAGTTGACCCAGTATGTTGTCATATCATGTTTTACTACTTTCTTGTATTAAGCAAAAATAATAGTCAAGAATTCTGCAACATTTCATTGCCTATATCCTAATCTTAATTAGGATGTGAGCAACAGTAGTATACTCTACAATAATATTAATAATGCAAACTCACCTTATGTAAATTAGCAACAACCCTAACAATATCATAGAAAATTAATATTGCTTCTTTTTCTGGAACTTTCTTTACTTTTGTTACATACTGCTGCAAATTTATAAACCGGGAACCTCCTTCAGTGAACTGGTGAGGTGACACACAATCTAACACAAGAAACAAACGTTGACGAACTCTGCCCGTGTAAATGAACCCATTGCCATTAGGATTTGGTGCCTCTTCTAAGGCATGATCCTGAAATTACATAAGAATTTATTATGATTGTCTTTATTTCATATGTAGCTGTAATAGCTATGCAATCTTATTTTTTGTTGTTTTTTGTATAATCTAATCTCGTCTTTTATAAATAACCATCTGCAGAGGATATAACACGTCATAGTAATAATAGTAATCATTGAGAGACACGCACGGCCGCTCCGATAACACGTAGGTCACACGATCCCAATCTACATAGAAACTGTACTTTTGATTTGTGTCACTGGCTTTACTAATGTTATTTCCTTAAAAATATAATTGTTTTGGGTGGGAATCGAAACCATCTCTCTCATTAACACACCACTGGCTCAGCATACACGATAACTACTCACTAGTCTTATTAGACTAGTGGGTAGTTATCACAGTTGGCTTATTCATAATGTCAATAAGTAAAACTGACCAGGAATAATTCAGTCCCTGTTTAGTCTGACTTACCTACTTATAATCCGATTTATCCATATATTTCTAATTCTAGTCTGCTCGTCTGCCCCCTCTAACATAAAAAAAAAGGAAAAAAAGAAAAATTGTAGTCAAATCTCCGTCAACGCATGTGACGTGTTTGCGGCATCGAAGTGTTAATCACTGACGATACTTTTATGATATGCATATTAATTATTGTGTTATTTAATAATTTATTCATCTAATATAATTATAGTGAGTATATATAAATATACACAATAGATACTATTGCTACTAGGTAATAATTACTATTTTAACTACTGTAAATTGTTTTTTTTTTTTGGCTAGCGTCATGGTCCCAAGCGCTCGTTGTATGTATAAAGAACTACCTACGCAACTGAACGCCACTTCTAATGACCAGAAGGATGGTTTTTGTTCTAGCACAGAGAATTAGTGTTGCCATTCAATGTGACAATGCTGCCTGCCTTCTGAGGATGCTACTAGTAGGAGACGATGCACAGGAATTTTTCGACACTTGTATTTTGAGATTGTATATATTTTAATTTTATTATAATTGTCACATTCAAGATACTTATTTATAATAATAATAAACAAATTTTAACAAGTATATTTTTTTAAATTCCCTTTTTCCTTGAAGTTTCAGACTAACTAGGAGTACTTGCCTCTTTCTTTCTTGGCAGTACTGAATAGTCTGACAAATTCAATTACTGGACAAATGCACTGAAACACATCTCGCACTAGGAATTCAATCCTGTAGCGTGGAGGACTTGACAAACATACACGAACACCCAGACTCAGAACAACAATTAGTGGATGACACAAAGTGTGTCCCATGTGGGGATCGAACGCACAACACTAGGAGCAGTAGGAAGCAGTGAGGTGACCGCTTAAACCACAACGACATCAGTGCAGTTTGTTGGATTAATGCAGTTCTACTGAATCTACTTTACCATATTTATCACAAACTAAGGTCAATCTGAACATAATATGTATTTAACTCTGTCTCACTTAAATATGATCTACTTGTTGCCTATTTTCTTTTACCTTAAATAATCCATGGTGATGAATAACGCCATCCTGGTCTCTCAATAAAGACAGCAAAGAGTATTCAGTATGCAACAACATCTTTCCTTGCCTATCATCTTGAGTTTCTGGTTGGCCTTCATTTCTTAATGTTAGTATTTTCACCTGAAAAACATAGGTAGGTACAATAATATTATTAAAAAAAAACTGCATGCATTTTCATTATTGTTTATAAAGTTTTAATTGATTTTTTTTAAACTCTATTGCTTTCCAATTTTAGATTAAATCTAGACAGAGACACAGATGTAAAACCAATAATATTAGGTCCTTCCATATGAAATTAGCGTTTTGTCGGACTGACCACTTTGATCTAAAATATCTCCTCTTTGGTTAAGAATTAAAAATTCAAATTTATAAATTCATTTAGCCAGCTAAATGAATTTATAAATTAAATTAATTAAAATTAATAATTAATACATTAGAGTTTGAAACAGTCATTCATTTGTTTTTTCCTCCTTATTTTTTTCGTGGCGTCGCTTTTTACCGCACAACGGGTAACATGAAATATCGGTATATTTACGAGTACGAGTTCTACCGTGGCACCAGTGCTGCAGAAACAGCTCGAAGGATTAATGATGTGTATGGCACTGGTGTCGCAAAAAAAAAGCACGATACGTTTTATGTTTCAACGTTTTCATTCTGGAAATTTCGACCTTCAGAACCAATCCCGTGGACGGCCAGAGACCAAAGTGGAAAATGAAGAATTAAAGGCTATTGTGGAAGCGGATCCATCTCAAAGCACTTCGAGATAGCTGCAGGCTTCGGGGTAATTGATAAGACTGTATTAATCCAATTGAAGCAAATTGGAAAAGTAAAAAGACTTAAACGATGGGTACAATATGGTGCTTTGACAGTTATATTTTTTTTAAACTTAATACTTTTATTGATTCTCTTTTTTTATTAAAATAAATAATACAAAGATTGCTATTAGAATGGCTGAAACAATATGGCTAACAAAATATGAAACGCTAATAAGGAATGATGAGAAAAATGAATTTTCTCATATGCAAACAAGATAATCATGTGATCATAGATCACAGGAAAATGTATAGAATCCTATTGTAGAACACTATTAATAAACACTGAGAACATTCTTAATACTGAAAAATCTTAAAAACTATAAAATGACTAATAAGCAAGATTATTGTGCAACTTATTTTAACCTTTTATTCAAAAGCATCTTATTAATAAAAAGGTCAGTATCTTATTGCTGAAAAACATAGATGGTAAAATTCAAATTTCGCAATTTTACATACGTTAGTGACAAGAAAACAGACAAAAAGAATATAAATAAGAATTAGAATTTATTACCTGGTAGAACTCATCAGTCCCCTCCTTTCTTGCCATGCATTGTACAATACTTTTAACAGGACTTGGTCCCAATTTCGGTCCTAGTAGGTAAGGACCAGCCTTACGCACGACCTTATCTGGCACTGGTGTTCCAGGAGCAGGAACATCACTCTTATTATAAGTCAACTTTGTCCTCTTTGGTGAACTAGGGCTAAACTTTCTGGAATTCTTAAGTACTGAACTGGACGTCGAGCTGGCGTAAGCAGCAACCCTTGCGATTTTTGGACTTGGCTGCAGTAACAAAGGTCGTGTCCTCTTTCCATGGTTTGAACTGCTTTCAGGTCTCTCTTGGTCCATAACGTTAAGAGTTTACTACTTAAATTAAACGGTTTGACACAATTGAATGCACGTCTGTAAAGTGATCACTTCTGACAATAATATTTCTATAGTTAACACTGTGTCCTGACTTGTGCCTGGTTGTTATGCTGGTTTGTATCAGATAATGCAAATCGCATTTATTTACTTGTTAAATGAAAATGTCTGACTGACTATCCGTTCAGAAATCAAACACACCTGCATCTCAGTGGACCAATGAATAAGAATGATATTTTATATTGCGTGAGAATTCACAATTATTGTGTAATAAACACTTTTTTAAACCGTGTTGCATTAAAAATAGGTAACTTGTGAAAGAGAAAGATTAAAGTTAACTTTAATCTTTCTCTTTCACAAGATAGACCCAATTCGTCCTTAGACAAAATGAAAATCTTTTATTTTAAGGGGATATCATTAAATATTAAGCTTTTAAAATTTAGAATTAAAGGAATGAAATGGATGCATTTTATTAAACCTAAAATTTTGACAAGGATGACAAGGGACCAGATACTCCGAAGTGACAATTTATATTTTGACAGATTTTATAACCATGTTTCTGACGATGGGAAGTTCTTGTTAATATTTTGTGATAACATTTTCGATCAAATTGTGCAATAATAAAACAGATATTATTTCTTGTACATAGTTAAATAAAACGGCTCGGCAGAATGTGGAAAAGTTTGAGATTAACGCAATCACAATTGTTAAAGTTAAAATATTTTAATGGCTACAAATTGCAGCCAGTCGGTGTTCCAGCTTTGGACTCTGTATTAAATCAATGGTATGAGTTTTGCAAAAAGCCACCGAAGGGATTTGAAAAATATTTTCAGCCTGGTACTAGTCAGAAACAGTCAAAAAAATCAGACGAAGACAGTTCACCAGCACCTTCAAAGAGTTCGCCGTCAATCTCTAAATCGAGTTCATCATCAGACAAATGGAATATGAATATGTTCTCGGGGTCGAGTGGCGGTGGCGGTGGTGGTAGCGGCGGTGGTCGTCCTGGTTACGAGGGCACTGACAGAGAAAAATGGATGATGTTTGGTGCTATGGGTATTGTCACTTTGCTCGCATCAATCGCCTATTATGAACTACGCTACAGAGAGATCAGTTGGAGAGACTTTGTCAATCTTTATTTATCTAAAGGTGTAGTGGAGAAACTGGAAGTAATAAATAAAAAATGGGTTAGAGTCAAGGTAAATCCTGGCTCTGCTGTTGAAGGAAAAGTCATCTGGTTTGCTATTGGCAGTGTAGACTCATTTGAAAGAAATTTAGAGAATGCACAATTAGAAAGGCATATTGAGCCACCCAACTTCCTTCCTGTTATTTACAAGACAGAAGTGGAAGCTGCCAGTTTAACAGGCATGCTGCCTACTCTGCTTATAATAGGCTTTTTAATTTATATGATGAGAAGATCAGCAGACATGATGGGTCGTGGAGGTAGAAAAGGAGGTGGACTCTTTGGTGGTGTAATGGAATCTACTGCAAAACTTATAAATCCTACAGACATTGGTGTGAAGTTCCAAGATGTAGCTGGTTGTGAAGAAGCTAAAATAGAAATTATGGAATTTGTAAACTTTCTCAAAAATCCACAACAATACATTGACTTAGGAGCAAAAATTCCTAAAGGCGCTTTGCTAACAGGTCCTCCAGGGACTGGTAAAACATTGTTAGCTAAGGCTACTGCGGGAGAGGCTAATGTTCCATTCCTTACTGTGTCTGGTTCTGAATTCTTGGAGATGTTTGTTGGTGTTGGCCCTTCCAGAGTCAGAGACATGTTCTCAATGGCCCGAAAACATGCTCCTTGCATCCTCTTCATAGATGAAATTGATGCAGTGGGTCGAAAGCGAGGTGGACGCAGTTTTGGTGGCCATTCTGAACAAGAAAATACACTCAACCAGCTTCTAGTTGAAATGGATGGTTTTAATACTACAACTAATGTTGTAGTATTAGCTGCTACAAACAGAGTTGATATTCTTGATAAGGCACTGCTTAGACCAGGTAGATTCGACCGACAAATCTTTGTGCCAGCACCAGATATAAAGGGTAGAGCTTCTATTTTCAAAGTACATCTGGTTCCTTTGAAAACCACACTGGACAAGGAGAGTTTGGCAAGAAAAATGGCTGCACTTACACCAGGTATCATTATCATAAACCTTTAATAGTCCATTGCCGTACATAGGCTTTTCTTTAGAAAGGAGGTTTTGGCCTACTATACTACACTGTACAGATGGGTTGGTATAGGGTTTGTTTCCAGTTTTCCTTCTCTTTGCAGTGGTGTTGTCCTGCATAGTTTGCTGCCAGGTATACTTTTTCATATTATACTTATGACATATTACCCCTATATAAATAGGCAGAAGTTTCAAAACAAAAAGAAAGAGACTTGAGTTTACAAAAAGTAAAGAACCTTAGTTTTTATGTCTATTTTATTAAATCTGAGCTAGGAAGTGAAGAAATACACAAAAATAATAAAAATTTCTCCTGATGATTGCAACATATCATGGCATTCAGCATAAGGCATTTGTATAGACACAGCCATACTGTGTTTTACACCTGTTAAGAATGATTAATAGTATAGTTGTTCCTCTTTAAACTCCGGAATGCTGCTAACTATATCGAGATTATGGACAACACCTATATGCAGATGTTGGACTGCTGTCCTAAATTTTTTTTCTATAGCCCTTTTATATTTCCTCTTCTTGCTGTTCAAAACACTTTTCAAGAAGTTTTCATTATGGGCTGTCTACTGTTGAATGCCCAAATTGCATTAATATTATACTTCAGTGTTCCATCACATTTTTGTTTCAATTCAGACCTGTAGCTCAGTAAAGCTTTTAACGACCTACCTACTTTTAACGGACTCATTTTACGAGTTTTACGCGTTTAGACGTCACTATTTGCCGGACTTGTTCCACAGCAGCACATTGTTATTGTATTGTATAACAAATAAAAATATATAAATATTCGCAGATTTAATTTGCAAGTGATCTAAAGCTATAAATTTATTTATTATTAATGGCTTCCTCATGAATGCATGGCCAAATACAATTCCTTTATTTTCTAAAATTGGTTACAATTTATTAAAAAAAATTGGTTTTATAAAGTTTTTATTAGCGTAAAAACGTCGCACCTCGTGCTATTTCGGTCTTTTAAATGCATTACTTTTAAATTGTATTTTACAGTTGGGGTTTTTGATTTTTTATTATTTGTATGAAGGTATCAAACTAATGGTCAAATATTCTAATACTAGGCCCTAGAGATATCTGAATATATTAACTGAAGCAACACAAATACACGTAAATCTTTATTCATTGTAACTTGTTACGATTCCAGGTTTCACTGGTGCGGACATAGCGAACGTCTGCAACGAAGCTGCCTTAATTGCCGCAAGAGGGTTAGCCAATGATATCAACATGAAGAACTTTGAACAAGCGATAGAGCGAGTTGTTGCTGGAATGGAGAAAAAATCGAATGTCCTCCAACCTGATGAGCGAAAGATTGTCGCCTATCATGAAGCAGGCCATGCTGTAGCCGGCTGGTTTCTTCAGCATGCTGATCCTCTCCTGAAAGTCTCCATCATCCCCAGAGGTAAGGGTCTTGGATATGCCCAGTATTTGCCCAAAGAGCAGTACCTCTATAGCAAAGAACAACTGTTTGATAGAATGTGTATGACTCTTGGTGGCAGAGTCAGCGAGGAACTATTTTTTGGTAGAATTACGACTGGTGCCCAAGACGATTTAAAGAAGGTCACTCAAAGCGCTTACGCTCAAATAGTCCACTATGGCATGAACGCTAAAGTAGGAAATGTGTCGTTTGATATGCCACAACCAGGGGAAATGGTTATCGATAAACCCTATTCTGAAAAGACCGCCGAACTAATAGATACAGAAGTCAGAGACTTAATAAATACAGCGCATCAATTCACAACCGAACTTTTGACTAAACATAAGGACAATATAACAAAAGTAGCTGAAAGATTATTGAAACAAGAGATCCTAAGTAGAGATGATATGATTGAGCTTTTGGGACGTCGACCTTTCCCTGAAAAGAGTACCTACGAAGACTTCGTTGAAGGTACTGGGTCTTTAGATGAAGATACTTCGTTGCCGGAAGGTCTTAAAGATTGGAACAAAGAGAAGCAACCATCAACACCGCCATTGCCTTCGGCTACAACTACCTCCAGTAAAAAATAAGCCTTATTAGTAGAAAGATTAGAGAGTTTTATGTGAAAAGAAATATTTTAATTACCTTTAAGATGTAAAGGTTTTTTTGTTATTGTCTATTGATGTGTGTGATATGTCTTAGATTCTTTTTAGTAGTTGAAAGCAAGGCATCTATCAGTGGACAATCTATAGTAGTTCGGAACAAGTTCTACACTGTAAATGGACTATCAGTGCACAACTGGTTATCAAACACGTAACGTCTTCATTTAGTTAGTAAACCAATAGCAATCAGAATTCATGTTTGGGCGTTTCTTTGTAACATACTAACTAGTTGCTTTACTGTTAAATCTTGTATAAAATAAACAAGTTCCAATATTTTAATGTACTTTATTTATGTTTTCCTTAAAGCTAAACTTAATTTCTTTACCTGCATTACAATTAAGATTCCTATATTTGAGGGCAGTGAAGAAAGTATGATCGATCAAGTGATCCACCTTTTCGAAGTAGAAAAGATATATTTCTGATGGTATCTGAGTTCACTTGTCTTGAATTTTATGGAAGTTTGGAGAGGGTCTAAGCATTGAACTAATAAGCGCTTACCATTTATAGCTTACTTTTCATAAATAGTAACTAGGACATTTATTTATTGTATGCTTATCGTTGGGTGGGTTGAATTATTTTTAAAATTACAGTTTAACAAGCTAAGGATAGATAGAACCGCCGTGTTCAATAGCCACCTAACAAATTAGCAGTGCAGCGTTAAGGGGTTATGTCAGAAAATACAAAATGCTCTTTTGCTGCAGTTGGACAAATAGTCAGTCTAAATCCCTATCAGGTCTGGCTTTTTAACAGATGGTGACCGATTAAGAATACGGAATGTCACCACCCCTATTCATCCTGTGGATGTCATAAGGGATGGATGGATTGGTGGATGCCTGCTAAGGGAGCAAACTACTTAAGACAACAGCAACGGAAATACGGTGTAGTAGGCCAAAACCCCTTTCTAAGGAGAGGCCTATGTCCAGCAGTGGACTGGGTTGTGTTGTGATGTTTGATGATAATCCAGTGCTGAACATAGGCCTCTTCGAATGAACTTCACAGAGCTCGATCATCATCTCTCCATATTCAGTTTTTCTCCTCCATTTTGCGTAGATTGTTACTCCATCGAGCTCCAGGGTATCCTACACTACGTTCCGCAAGCCGCGGTCTCTACTCCAGAACTCTTTTTTTTTACCCCAGCAGTTATCGGTTCTGTGGGCAATGTAGCCACTTCAGGTCATCATTCAGGTAATATGAGTAGATAAATTACAATATCGGATGAAAATAAGGCTAACCAATGCTATGAAGTTCAATCAGATAGAATAATTTTGCTCGCCTTAGGCTATTTGAAAATGTGTATCACAGTTTTTTTTTGGGTGAGAACATTTGCCAACCAACTTTAATTCCTTATAATATATATATATATATATATATATATATATATATATATATATATATATATATATAATACCGATTTAAAGTCTTATCCTAAACGAATACTCAATAAAAAACCTAAAGATGGTTTTCCAGGACCTATCCCCCATTTGACTTAGTTGGTACAGCTTAATTTTTTCGTAATCAATACGGGATCTATTTGTCGCTAAATTGAATTCTGAATACTATATTATTATAGCTGTTGTTCTATAATACTGACTGCACGGATGGCGTAGTGATTTAAGCGGTCGCCACGCCGTTTCCTAATACGCTGAGTGTGTATGGTTCGATCCCAAGATGGGACGACACTTTGTGTGATCTACAAATTGTTGTTCTGAGTCTGGGTGTTCTTTGTGTCCGTTTCATGTATGTTTGTAGTCCCCGCGACAGAGTATATATTTCTAATGTGGGAGTTGTCTTTTAAAAGAAAAAAAAATAACACTACATAAGTATATAATAATGTAATAAACATCCAAATTAGCTTACACGTCGCCACAGAGCGCTAAAAAGGAACAAAGGTAATTATATCAGAAACTATAACATTAAAACAACAACGAAATAGTTATTGATATGCCCATTACCCGCCTTTGCATCGTGCAATACGGTAAAATTATTCAGCTTTATCATTTTCTGGACTACTACTACTAAATTCAAAACTAAAGTAAATGGTTTGAGAGATCAGTATGGATAACAATAAGAAAAAAGTCTTTCCAACTGGTTTACATAATGTAGCTACTTGTATCCCTAATTTAGTTAGTCTACATTTTATTATAACACGATTTGTGACTGAACAAGTATACCAATATTTGCACAGGCGCTTCATTAGTTAAGTATATTTTATTTACGATGTCGTTTACTTGTTACCACAATCTAAAACTTATCGCCGTATTTAAGTTATGGTGCAAATGTCACACTATGTAATTCTCATTAGGGACATCAGTATAAAACTGTCTAATACTTAAGTCGTTCTTTTTGGACCGAAGTTCCATATCGCGCGTTACACGCTCTGAGCGGATGGGAGCGAGACCGTAAAATGTGTAACAAGACTTTTTGCCGACATTTCAGTTGGCGCGTAGACGCTCACATCTTTTTCATATTTCATATGTATAGCAAAGACTACCAAAAAGCGAAATGAACTTCGTTCCATCAGGGGTCCATAGACCTATCACGTGGTTTTATTTTTTATTCTGTTATATATATATATATTTTGAAAAATACAATAAAAATACACTGTGGGAAGGAGATATTAAGAAAGGCTGAGTGCGCCGAAAGGTACAATACGACTGCTAGCTGCTAGTCAGAGATCCGGTAACCCTAGCACGCGTGCCCAGAGAGCACCTGCATAAGTAGGTAGGTACGTATGGGTCCCTTTCGTCAAACAATTGGGCTATTGTATTTTTCTTAATTTACCTGTATTTGTGTACACAATCACTTCTTTTATCCCGGAGTAGACAGAAGCGTATACTGACCTAGTTCCAGTCACATTCACATAAAAGGCATTAAGCCTGTAGGCGTCAACCGGATACATAATAATATATTTCTAAATAAACTTATCTACGTAGCTATATGTTTCTACGCACATATCTACAGAGTATAGCTAAATAAATTACACCCAGAGAGAATCAATGTTAATGTTCGTGCTCATCACACTATTTGTCCTGGTAGTAGGTTCGATTCCCACAATCGAACCTACGACCTTTGGCTTAGCAGTCATGATCGCTAACCACGACTGTGCACGACCGCACGACCAATTGTTCTGTATCTGTGGGGAAGTTATTGATAATACTTGTATAAGTATTTAAAATTATGTTAATATGTTTATTATAGGTACTATATTACACGCTCTATCTAATAAGGAATCAGATGCCGTGTGTGAGATGTGTCAATTAATATTTCCTATTATTACTCTTCTGTCTGTGTCTTCAGAGTTTTGGCAAGGAACACACAAGCCATTTAACACTTGTAACAATCGCGTAATGAGTTAAACTAATGGGTGTCAACAATAGCTTTCAATATTGAATGAATAGGACCTAATATACCTTTCGAAACTCCTAAATCAACTGTGATTTCAACCCTAGTGTGGTATGATTTATAATTAAACTTTAATATAGACAGCAAAGATAAAAAAGAAAAATATTTAGATTGATTTGATTTCAATGCTATAATGTCAATGAGTTAAGAATAATAAAGAAGTGTAACGATCTTTAATCTGCACTAAAAGGTTTGATCTAATGAAGCTCTCGGTACAAATTTATTGTGATTATTTATTTATATTTGATCTACTTAGGTACTATGAAGAAGTACAGATTATTACACACACTTCATCACGTACTTAGATGCAAGAAAGTGAATATTCGTTTCTCTTATCCTTAATTTTCCTACCTCTTTGTTCTCCATTAAACTAATAAATTAATCTTCGGGATTTATCCCAAAACGATTTCTAGTTTCAGCTTGCTGATCCGGTAGGCTATGTCGGTGACCTTGGTTCTCTGTCGGATCACCTCATTCCTGATGCGATCCCTCAGAGGAACGCCGAGCATAGCCCTTAACATAGCACGTTGAGCAAATTTGAACTTGTGGACCAGACGTACCGTAAGTGTCCACGTTTGGGCTCCGTATGTCATGACGGGTAGGACGCACTCATTGAAGACTTTCGTCTTAAGGCACTGTGGGATTGACGATGAGAAGACTCGACGTAGCTTCCCAAACGCTGCCCAACTCAACCGAATTCTTCATAAATTTCTATTTCTATCTACACCAGTTTTCGCCAGCGGCAGCGTGTTCGCTAACCCTAATGAAGAGTTCATCTAAGTGCTTTCCCCCGGAGCGATAGGTACTTTTTCTGGGTGAAAAGTTACCTACACATGCCTTCACAGGAAATGTCTATAGGTATTTTATCTTATCCCTCCACTTTTTTACCTTCTTGCAGTCCAACATATTGGATTCTATAAATGGTTGAGTATGGAATTCTCTCAACATTATTATATGTAGGGTTGAAAACAATAAATAATTCACTATAATTCGAGTACCAATATATTTAATTGGCCACTGGCTGAAATTAAAAATTTACATTGCTTCTCTTCCAAGTAAGTCGAATGCATTAAGACAAACATTTTCGCGCGGTATGATCGCATCGCTCGCATTAAAACTATCATCGCACGGAACCAACAACCGCGCGACCATGCTTGGCTTGTACAATAATTCAAGGAACAACTTTAACAAAAAAACAGGGTTATATTAAAATTATAATATGAAAATATTCAAATATCAGCCGAATATACATCCAGCCTTATTTCTGTTTATTTAAATATTCACTACATTTACTTTATACATCACCAATTTCTTAAGTAAATTCAGTTTTTTGTACAATATAAAAAGAATCTTATATAATTAACTATGTTTACACGCGAGTAGTGTATAACACGCCCGCAATCGCAATACAGCTTGATCTATACGAGCGAACGAGAAATAAAGAGAAATCGTAACAAAATATTTAAAATTATGGTATTATTACAAGTAACTACACTATTTTTATGTTCAACATTTTATGTCAATATTCATTATTATCTATACTTAATTGAAGCCTATGATATAACATTATAAACGATGAAAAACATTATTTTCTTCATGATATCATTCAACAATTAATCCATTAACAACTTGCATCCATTTATCTATCCAACGGAAAATTATCACTAATCTCAGTAACAATATAAGGTCCATTTCAATGACAGTCTCTGATTTTTTCCCCTTTAGGCTTTCGGCCCCTCTTTTTTCCAGAAGTGACTCCAGCAAGCGCCATCGCCGCGCGTTTTGCAAGACACGACTTGCAGAACCAGTCTTCCGTTGCACCGGGCTCTTCAGTAATCCCGACACATACCCAATGGTACCAGCCATCACAACCGTCGCATCCGATCATTGGCGATCCATTGTCAGGCCGACCGCAGGCCGGACAAACCCAAATCTTATTACCGTGTTCGTCTACGTAATAAGGCGTGGGTAAAGGTCCCGTCAGTTTTTCTGCGGCTGCGGGAAGTTGTGGAGGCGGCACCTGCGGCAGCGGCGCCGGTTCTTCAGAAACCGACGCAACGTCGTCGTCAAAGTTTTCAACAGGTCCTTTTTTGGACATTTGTTTAATCAATATCCTTTTATATTTTGAAGACGATGAGGGAGCATTCTTCCTTGGTGGTGAACTACCTGAGGGTGGTGAAGACGACTGTCCTTCACCATCAAAGACATGATTGTGCTTCGAATGTTTCAATTTTGGAGGTCTTGTCACTAATGCGGATATTTGGGCTAATTCAGGAGAGCGACTGTGTTCTCTTGATAATGGCTCATCCTTCGTTGGCGATTCCTCCTCTTCCTCTTCTTTTCTTAGTACAGGTTTTATATTCAACTTAAATATATCGGGTGAACTTGGTGGCATTGGTGAATTCGAGTTAGATGAACTTAGTTTTAGTGTAAGTTTAGGCACGAGACCGTCAGTGGCTTGTGGCTTTTCTTTTTTCTTCTCTTTTTTATCCTTTTTTATTTTATCTTTCAACTCTTGTCTTTCCTCTTTTTCACGTTTTTTATCAGACTTTTCTTTATTCTTATCCTTTTTATCCTTCTTCTTTTTGATTTTAATGCCATCCTTATCTTTTTCTTTTTTATCTTTCTTATGTGACTTGTCCTTTTTCTTGTCGAAATTTTCTAGTTCTCTATCTTGTGGAAGCTCAGGAGTGGGGGGTTTGACTGGTTCTGGTACAGGATCTGGCTCTTTCTGTACCATGGGCTCTGGTGTTGGTATTCGAGGAGTGGGAATTGGTGACACTTTAGGTGGTTCCTGCCTAACAGGTTCTAATTTTGGAGGATTTAATTCAATGGTAATATCAGGCTGAACTGGAGGCATTTTGTATAAATTAGATTTGTGATCTTTATGTGACTTCGATTTATGCTTTTGTAATATATTTGGAATGGTCTGAGATTTGTGCTTATCGTGTCTGTCCTTTTGGGGGCCCATCATCGGAGACTTATGCATTCCTCTGTCATCATCATTATCTACAGGTATAACTTCTAAACTAGGACGACGTAACATTGGAGGTATTTTTATAGGAGAAGATCTGGATGTATGAGGTATAGGTCCCATCGGCATGAGAGGATTTCGAATACCAGGATTAAGACCACCACCCAGAAAACTAGGTCCTGGTATCAGACCAGGCCCACCTGCTCCCAAGGCAAATGGATTGGTTAGTAAATTAGAGGGTGGTAGACCTCTTAGTGCTGGATTATTGGCCAATCCAGCAAGGAAATCACTGCTTGGTATTAACCCAGGGGTGGGTATTAAGCCTGGACCGGGCATTAGACCTCTACCAGGAGTCATTGTGGGGAAGAATGGAAAACCAGGTGGCAGTTGAGGCAACTTGGAATCATTCTTCGGCCTACTCGTTTTGGGTGGTTTGGCACCACTTAATTTCAGACATTGCTTTTCAGCCTGTGCTATCTCATATGCTATTTGTTGCTTCTTTAACATTTTTGCTTCATATTTAGCAGCTTTATCTTTCTTGTCTTTATGCTTCCTTTCTTTTTTTATTTTTGGACTGACACTAGCTACATCTTTGGGATAAGGTACTTGTAGGGATTTATTAATTGATATACTAGGACGATGTTCCACTGGTGGAGCTCTAGAAGGCATAGGGTTGAAATCTACAGGATCATCATCAATACTTATTACTTCATCAGTCCTCAAATTCATAACTTTAGACAAATCTACAGCACTATTATCATTATTGTTCACAATGGGCTCTTCAGTTTTCACTCTAAAATTTTCATGGAATCGGCTTTCAATTGCATTTTCATGTAAAGAATTAGAATTTTGTAACCTTGAGATCATAGAATCAGACTGTAATTTTTCCTGAACAACCTCTGGAGTACTTTTATCTTCTTTTGATTTGTTCGATATTCTTTTAAATATATTAATCTTTGATCTATCAGGTTGGGATGCCAATTTTTCTTCTTCATCTACTATTTCTTTTTTAATTTCCACTTCAGGTATAATTGAATTTGTTTGAGGTTGAGATTTATGTACAGGTATAGAGTTAGGAACAAGAGGAGATTTTGAAATAGGTATTTTTCTTGGTACAGGTATTGCATCCTCTTTTACAGAGATTGGTCTGGAGATTGTGGGTGGTGGTTCAATTGGCTCTTGCTTGATAGGTGGAATAGGTTTGGATGATTCCACTACAGGTGATGGTGGTGGAGGCATTGAAGACTTCATTGGAGGCGGAAGCGATTTTGGCGCTGGCATTGTCACATGATTATGGTGTGTTGGATGCACATCCTTGCTTTTTGTTGGATGACCTGGTGGATACTTATTCAACTTACTACTATCCTTAGATTTACTACTCTCACCTTTATGACCTTTATCTTTTCGTTTACTTTTCATTACTTTACCATTCAATAACTTATTCTTTTTGGGTTTCTTATCATTTTTGTCTAGTACTGGTGCTTTCACAACATTAGAATGATGTGAATTTGCTTTATGTTTATCATAATGTTTTTCTGACATTATGGCAGGTGGTCTTGCCTCAGGTAATTTTCCTTCTCGTGCTGGAGACAAGAACCCTGACATGGTCATCATTACACTACTGATTTCTCTAGTTCTTTCCTCCTCATCCAAACGTAACCTTGGTCTTTTACTGTTTGGTAATGAAACTGGATCAGTTGGTCGCTTAAATATTTCCTTATTCTTATCTGGACTGTCTGTGACTGAAATTTCAGGACTCGTACATGTAGCATTACTAACGTCACCACTATCAATGCCATTCTGACGAATTTCAACAGTTCCAGCCACTGCAGGTGTATCCCTTTCTTTTTCTGGATACATAGGGGGCAAATGTTCATGGACATGCATAGGTCTAGTGACAACTTCATGACTGCCAGGTTTCAGGAAGTTCAAATTAGACTCTTTAGGCTTGGGGAACTTTTCAGATGGTACAGGTGCGGGTACAGGAGGTACACACCTTGTATACTCTGTCAACTCTGGTAAATTAATGTGGAGGTCACGAAATACTAATCCTAAGTCATGTAAATTTGGTTCAGTCCTGTTAAATTGTTCGGCGTATCTGTTTGCTTGTGTCCCAAGTGACCTTATGTACTTCTCCAGTACATGCACCAATATGTCCAGTGGAGTTGAGTTTATGCCATTCCACCCTATAGTTTGGCATATTTGCGCAACATTCCTTCGCAGTATCTCACGGGCGTACGCCTCTGACATTATGACACCAACAAAGTTATCTGGAACAAACGAATATATCAGATTTGTTACGATAGTTCAATGCTGATTGTACATCAAACACATAATTTGGCGTATGCACTATATTCACAATGATATAGAATCATGTTACGGATATTAAGACTCCTGAAACAGCAAATCTCATGATTTTTATACCTGCAAGTGTCTAGTAGTACAGAGTCGTGATTCCGAATAGGTGAAAATTTCACTTTTGGAACATACATGTATGCTTCACTATAATCTTGAGGACTCAAAGATAATTTATAAAAACACATAAAGCGTTTACAATGCAAAATAACGAAGTGTTTACGTAAAAACTTCTCAGCATTCTAAAAACACAGTGCCCCGTGCGCCATGATTGCATTTTGGGTTGTCAATGTTTTGTGTTGCTGTATAAAAATATTTAAAAGGCGGTCTATTTACGATGCGTTCATGATCATGCTAAAACAGTTGTATTTACATAACATAGGTAACATTGAGCCATTATTTTATATATTATTTATATATTTTTTAAATCATTTTCATTGTGCAAATCTGTTTAAATCCCACTTTAAAGTGTTTCCCGTAAAAATTAGGATTGTGTACCTCTTAAAAGGAAACTTCCACAACGTGATTCTCAAGAAACAAAGATGTAATCAAAGATATTTTTCATTGGGTTTTTTAAAGGTTGCATAAAGTTTGAAAGGTATTTTTAAGTTCAGTAGAGTCCTTTCCCTTTTTGGTCCGTTTGTATTTCACACTTTGTAACATTTATCAACAAATTTAGAAAAATTTTGCTGTGCATATTCACACACATCGTATCATTATGTATTTGAAATTTATTTATCAGCTGTGTAAAAATTAGTTTATAGCTCAATATTTTTTTTAACAATACTTTTAATAGTATTGGAGGCAATGATGCCAATTGATTTACTCGAGCGTAATTAGTAATTAACCTATTGAAAGATTGGCTAATAGAATGAATAAAAGTTTTATAATGTTTTCACTTTCAGTGTCGTAAAAAGCTTCTACATGTTTTTAAAAATGCAAGGAAAGGAAATATATTTTTTTTTCGACCGCATTGAATATGTTATTTGGACGCCAATAATTATCACATTGAAAGGTCTTATTCCTTAGGTCTTCGAATTATCGATAATGCAAAACTGAGAAATACCCGAGCTTATTAGATTATGTACAGACGATTCAGCTTGATGTTCCTCTCATACTAGCCAAAAATCTGACAGTTAGAAATATTTTTATTGATTTGTTTTTAAATTAAATGTGACAAATAAAAGAATGAAAAATTATGGACACTCCCTGGCCTTCGAGTTTTTTTAACTAATCTGATGGGTTGCCCTAGACGCTCCCCCTATATGTCGAGCTCATGTAAGTATGAAGGTAGTAAGGTATTCCTCCTTATGTTAATCTGCCTCGAGTAAATTCCGAAATCCCTTCTAAGGATCCAATACTACAATCCAATGCTACATTTACATATATATTACTATTATAGTAGGTACGTATTATATTCTTATCCTGCCATTTTCTTGTTCCCAGAATTTTGAGAACGGTGTCTTTCAACACCGTTACAGTTTTGTAGTGTGTACCTATGGTGTGTACAGACCATAAAAATAAAATAAATTACAATTGTAGGTTTTTGAATTAAATGAAATTAATGAAACTCTGAAACAGCTCCAAAATAATAAGCACTGATATTTAAAGTCTTCCTAAAGCCTTGTTACTCTGTTTTGCTTTAACTACCTACCTACACTGTTTTAACTTATTTTGAAACTTAAAGGTCTTTTTTTCGAATTCTATTTAGTAGTCAATGGTCTATAACAACATAATCATCAACACTCTTATTTGGTATAATTTAAATGTTTTTCTGGTAAAACTTTATTTAGTGCACGTGTTTTGATGAGGCTGTATCACTGCTTTTGAAGTTGACTTAAAAAAAAACCAGCATGACAGTTTGTCAAATCCGCTAATGGTCGACGGACTGTGATATGCTTTTTGTAGAAAGAATTTCATAATTCTAGGATTTTATATTCGAAATAAGCGTTAATATTTAGAAACACTTACTAATCTCATTAAACTATTAATGAAACACCTATATTATAAGGCGAGGAGTTAATTTTAAAGAGTTTACATATTCGCGTAGAGCCATAAAGAGTTGGGGCATTATAGTTTTAACGTTTTATAACTTTTTCATGATAGAACTGTTGATGTTTGTTTTAAAAATTGAAGATTGAAAATGACCACATCGTCTGAGGATGTTTTACTAAGTGTGGGCCACGTGAGGTACAAAAAAGGTGATGGAACCCTGTATGTTATGAATCAAAGGTTAGCATGGATGTTAGAAAATAGAGATACCGTTGCAGTTTCCCACAAATACGCTGATATTAAAAGTAAGTATTTTATTACTTCGTATCTGGCTTTAATTATAAAGTATAATTTTTAATTGTTAAACTTAATATAATATTTATTGTGTATTTAAACCAACCGAGGCTATTTACACAGTCTAGCCCTACATATTGTTGTAAGATATCAACGAATTATAGAAAATTGATCTATATTATACTACAAATCTTAATGCTGTATTTAGGGATCTAATGCCCGGGTGGTACAAGAATTACCTAATAACTAATATTTTCAGTTTTCGAATCACAGAGATTGGTTTGTCATAAAATTTCGGCTATAATTATTTAAATTTTTCATTTACAAGTATTAGTTATGAGTTATTATTATGAGTATATGTTGTATATACTCGTAACTTGTATTTACTAACTCCTTACTTGTATTTTATGTATTGTTTTAATTTGTAACACATATTGTTTAAAAATGTTAGCTTCTTGCATTTTGTTTAAATGTAATACCAAACAAAATATTTACTAAACAATGTATTAAAGAATTTTGTTCCATGTATTTATAGAAGCGCAATTAGAGAGTTTCATTTCAGTTATAAAGTATCTCAGACATAAATATCCAATTGATTTGTCCTTGAAAGAATAGTGCGCAAAACATGCTATAAATAGGATAGTTTATAATTATTTAAAGTTAATTTTGTAATAATATTTAAGCTAATACATGTTGAAATGCAATATGAGTACAAATTAAATTATTTTGTCCTCTTTCCTTGTAGTTTAGGCCCAGAAGATTACATCAAACCATAATAGCACTTATCTGTGCTATTATTGCTCTATATTTTATTGAATTTCTTTCCATTCTTATTTTCTATTCATTCTCTTTTTCTTCTTCTATTCATGTACCATACCAGTTTAATCATGATAGGAATATGATGACTAACTGAGTATCCCTTCTGATTTTGAGCTGTGAGATTCCATAACTCAAGTAATATCAATGCAATATTTTTTGTTCTTTTAAAAATGGTGTTTTCGTAAAAATGTTGTGTCAAGTAAATTTTGTGAATCACTTAACGAGGAGTAATATAATATGTGATTTATTACATACTAGCTTTTCCCACGGCTCTGTCTGCATGCATGTCAGTTATCTCTATTCCAAATCATCGGAATCAATCCAGTGGTTTTAAGTTCCGTATACAAATTTCATCACCCCTTAAAGTATGATTTCTGGAATAAAAACCATCCATGTCCTTTCCTGGGGCCCAAACTATCTCTATGCCAAATTCCATTTTAATCGGTTTAGCGCTTTGAGTGTGACGAGGTAATAGACAGATAGTCAGACATACAGACAGACACACTTTCACATTTATGATATTAGTATGGACAAACACTTTAATAGACAGATGTTTGTTTTAACTAATTTATCTGTTAATACAATGAAAGTGATAAAGATTGTAGTTATTATGAATAACACTATGTATAAGGACTATTTACATGAAACATTAACAACAGATTATGCTATTTTAGCTTTATTTGTATCATTCTGGTATTAGCTCACATATATAGAGAGACTTTAAAAACTAGATACTCCAGAATTATATGAATATCTGGCCCCTGACTGATAAATATATGTAGCTAATACAATGTTCTGACCATTACGCCAACCATACCAGGTGGCATAGTGATTTAAGTGGTTTCCACGCTGCTTTCTCCTGCGCTATTGTGGGTTTGATCCCCGAGTCTGGGTGTTCTTTGTGTCTGTTTCATGTATGTTTGTAAAGTCCCCTTCAACACAGGCTATGTTCCTAATTAGATTCATCTTAATTGTGTGATACAGAATATAAGAAAATATTAAAAAAAGAATATATTAAAAATATAGAAGGAAAACTTGACACAAACCTTATACTAACCCGTCTGGCCAGCGTGGTATAGTAGGCCAAAGCCTCCTTTCTAAGGAGAGGCCTATGTCCAGCAGTGGACTATTAAAAGCTGTTGATAATAAAAAAATAATAATAAATGAAATGAAGGATTTTTGGCGGCAAATTAGATATTTAAAAAAATATGTTTTATTTACAATCTATATGTTGTACCAAAGTAGAGGGTCTACTTATATATTTAAAGCTAATTTGTAGCAAGAATGGGCTAGATTTTTTTTTAAGGGGTTAATTAAATAAATATGAGCAAGAATATTTTTAGACCTTAAGAAGGATGGTCCAGTCCTACATTTAGCATTTGATATTCCATTGATGTGATGATAATGATTATATCTATGACTATTAAATGAACACTCATTATCTGAAGTTATTTCATTGATTTATATGGCAATTAATTCAGTTACTGTATGTGAAGTTCAAGTATTGTATTAGCTAGTAAAAAAAGTATGTGACATAAATCTTTTGTATTTGCAGCTCAAAAAATATCTCCAGCTGGTAAGCCAAAGGTTCAGCTTCAAGTAGTGCTACATGATGGAGCATGTTCCACATTTCACTTTGTCAACCCAGGAGGTGCAGATGCACAGGCAAAGGATCGTGACCAGGTTAAAATGTTACTGCAGAACCTACTGCCCAAGTTTAAGAGACAAATTGATGGTGAGCTTGAAATGAAATCAAAGTAAGTGTGTGTGTAACTGTACTATTAATGAAAATATAATTGGCTTCAATGATATCTTAATTGTTAGTTAAATACTAAATAAAAAAAAAACAAGATAAACACATAATGGTTAATATTATAATAGCAATACTATAAGCAATGCAATGCAATGGTATACAAGTTTAGTTAGTTAATTATTGGAGTAACTTTGACTTGGGAAAAGTTTCTTACCATGCCATAAACATTTAATAAGTTAAGTTAATTAAGTGTTATTTGTTGGTGCCAAGGTGTTCTTAAGTCTAGTACTTGTTCTGACATTATCATAACATAAAAATGGACTTTAAATGTAAAAACCCTTTTTTACATTTAAAGTCTCAGTCTTAAAGTTGCATAAATATTTGCAGTGGACATTTTAACCTTCTAATAGCTAAACATATTACATAGGTATATATTTACCTATTATAAATCGATTTAGCGACTCATCAAAATGTCACAGACCGAAACTCATTAGTCTAATACATTAGTTTTTTTTAAATTAATACTGAAGTTATTTTTATTTTTAAATATGTTGGAATGAAAACATTTGTGTAACCTTTAAGTGACATTGCTAGAAAAGCAAATTTGTTTACGTTATAGCGAAATTGAATGCTCAATAAATTGTAACCTCTTTGATGTATACTCAGTGGTATCATAATGAATGGCTCTTTAGAATCTGATTCGATTTCTGAATATGTCTTTTCCTTATTTGTCGATTCCAACGCCGACATCTTACATGAAGAATATACATTCGTATCAAACCATCAAGAAATACTGTATGACGTCACTCTGCGGAAATAAACATATTTTTATATAAGAGTTTTTGCCCGCGGCTTCTTAAACTGTAATGTCGATTCCATTCAGCAATTTTTCTGAGATAAATAAGTAGCCTACGCCTTATTAAAAACATTATCTATCTTTATACCAAATTTTATCCATTTCCGTTCAGCTATTTTTTTTCTTCTTTTACCTCATTCACACAACGGGGTCTTGTCCCAAACTAAGCAGAGCTTGTACAATGGCTACTAGACAACTGATTTAAATACATATATACTTTTATTTTGTAAATACATACATATTATACATAGAAACACCCAGACTAAATCAAACATTAAATATACATGCACACAAATGTTTGACTTGAGTGGAAATCGAACCCGCGACCTTTAGAATAGAAGTCCGTTACACAAACCACTATGTCATCCATTATCATTGTGGCGTTATTGAGTAACATCCATCCATCAATACAAGTTACATTTTATAATATTAATATAGATGAAGCGTCTTCTTAAATTAAGGCAATGCAGTTCATTGTAGTGCAGTTTTTTTAGCAAAAAAAATTTTCAAGAAAAGTCCGACTGTACTGTGATTTAAAGATTTTAAAATGTAATATCTTGGAGTATCTTGTTTTTTTTTAACCAATTTATAATGTGTTAACAGGTTATTGTCCTTACATCCCACACTGAAACATTTGTATGAAGATTTGGTGATATCTAAGGTTATAAATAGTGAGGAATATTGGAATACACCCACATTGAGAAACTACACTGAATCGAATAGTATTAAACAGGAGGCTGGTAGGTGGTTTTTTAATTTAATTAAATAAAGAGTGTCCATACCATGTGTCCCTTTATTTATCGGTATATGTCATGTGTATATAGTAGTAATGCAAAGAAAATAGTAGCTATTCTAGCTACTATTTTTACTAATAATCTATATATATATATATAAGAGATTTCCACGTATATAGACACTCATCACGATATCTCAGGAACCATTAGAGCTAAAGACTTGTAATTTGGTAGGAATATTCTTTTGACCGAGTAGAGGACAGCTAAGAACGGATTTTAAGAAATTCAAAAAAGAATATATTTAAATAATGTAAATAGCAAAACAATGTTTGCAGGGTCAGCTAGTTTCCTATATAATAATTCCTAATAGTCTACCTGACCCACACTAGGTAGACCAGTATTCAGACCATGGCTATCTAGATAAACAATAAGAAATAGAGAGCTGCGGATGAGTTTATAGACAGAATCCGTACAAGTCATACCAACTATTTTTTTTAGAACCATATATTTTTTAGAATTCACAGACCATGACAGATGGGGGCAACACATGCGACTGCGCCTGGGACTTGCGACCCAGAAGTAGGTTTAGGGAGTACTCCTTGCATCAGCACTTACCTCCTCTGTCTGCTGTGTTAACGCCTCTTCTATTATTCTCTATTACTTTTTAGGCGTATCCGGTGCATTCTTAGCCGACATTCAACCACAGACAGATGGGTGCAATGGTCTCAAATATAATCTTACACAAGACATAATAGACGCCATATTCAAAACATATCCAGCTGTAAGAAAGAAACACATAGATTATGTACCCAACAAAATGACAGAAGCCGAGTTCTGGACCAAGTTTTTTCAGTCACATTATTTTCATAGGTGAGTAGTATTCTTAATGGATCTTATATTTCCATATCTGTTAATCAATGTTTATAAATATTTTTAGTATTAAAAAAGTTTTAAGCAAAAAGCGTTTTATCATTGGACAACTGGAATATAATTGTAAATGTCAATTTTTATTATTAAGGTGGAGACATCAATCTCTGGCCAATCTAAGTTTCTTATTATTAAATTTTGTATATAGTTGTAGGATACCTAACACACCTAACACACCTAACACACATAGGATATATTAATGTGCGTTCAGAAGATGTAAAGCTCTGTTTAATTTATGGATTTACAACAAAGCTTTACTAGAAATAGGTGTTTGTAGCTGGCTGAAGCTGACTAAGAATAGGTTTTTATTATCCAGACATATTTTATTGGTATTAATATTGACAAGGTTAGTTTAGATTCGTAAAGGAAATTACTGAAGCTGTTTATTTTAACGATTAAACTGTCAAAATATCTATTGTTTTCCAAAATAAAGACAAAGGAAAGAACCAAACAATACCACATTATAAAAAAAATCAATGAGATGAATGAATTGAGAATATAGAGCCAATATTGAACTCGCCTTTGACACCGGATGAACTATAAGTTATGATATTATGCGTTTTTTTTTCAGGGACCGAATAGCTTCATCATCTAGTAAAGACTTGTTTGGGGAATGTGCCAAAATGGACGACCAAGCGATTGCGTCAGCTATGAGACATACCACATTAGATCTCACAGTAGGTCTCGCTATCATTTGTTTTTTAAAACCTACTTTTAAAAAATACGAAGTTTTTAATTTAGTTTCTTAATATTTGTTAATTCAGAACACTATTATTTATAAACCAAATTTAAAATATAGTAGTATATTTAGTTTTAAAAGATGGAGGTCAAAGTTAAAATATCTTTATTTCATAATTTTTGTTTTAATTATTTGAAATCGTCTTGATGTGTTCCCGTTTGTTCCTATTTAAATTTAAAACAAATTCCTTCCCTAAGGATGAAAATTAAGGAATGAGGCATAGTTTTAGGTTTATTGAAACCGGTTATATTTTTAACTAAATTATGAATAGTTTGATTTTTGATATTGTTAGTTAAAAAAAACCAATGGAGTGTTATATAATAGTTCAGAAATGAAATAGTCCATCTGTTTCTTACAAAAAGATGATATCAATGAAATCATATTAAAAGTTCCTGTTCAACAGGTCGACCTGCCTCAATTTACGGAGCCAGTCCCTTTTCTCCCGAACGAGGATGATGTCCCCCACGAAAAAGAGAAGGGAGAAAACGCTTCCATACATAGAAATATGATCAAGCGGTTCAACCAACACTCTATTATGGTTAGTATTATTTTGGTATTTCAAACTTTTTAATGTTTTAAAATATATAACTTTTTAAAGTTGGAAGTTTACTTTGTTGAAAGAGACGTATCTATCGTATTCAACTATTTGTACTGTTTGAATAATTAATAATAATAACATAGACACCCCACGCAAGGCTGTCTGATCGAAAACTAGGCAGAGTCTGAGCTGTGGTAACCAGCCTGCTGATAATATTTATAAATAAATATTATAATTCTAAATATGAATGTTTGGATGGATGGATGTATGTTTGTTACTTAATCACGCTAGTTCGATGAACGAAATTTATACAGAGGTAGTCTTTTTATCCAATGTCAAAAGATTGTTATGAATAAACTACACCCAGGCCAGACCAGAACAAACAATCGTGCTCATCACATAATTAATTGTCCAGGTGGGATTCGAACAAACAACCTTAGGCTTAGCAGTCAGAATTACTAACTACTAGACTAATATAAATTGTATACTCTAGTTTATTGTTGGTTAACAATACAATCTACTTTAAGCTAATAGAGAATAAGAAAAAAATACCCACTTTATATTGCTCCATTAAAGTTTAGAATTCTTTGACTTTGAATTTTAGGTGTATATTTTTTATTTACAGGTGCTCAAAGCTAGTCATAAAACAAATTCTAGTAATAGTAGTAATAACAGTAGTAGTAAAACGACAAATAACAACAAAGTTGTTGAAAACGGCGTCAAAGATACAAACGGAGTTACGGAGAAGAGACCGGCAGAAGAATCAAGTAGTACAGATCCACCGGAGAAGAAGAAGAGAATATTAGAAAAGATCCATTATGAAGATCTGGAAAATAGTTCTGCTAACGAAGATAACCAGGAGTTAAAATTATCTAAAGTAAGTTGTTCTTTATCATGATATTGGAAGCTTATCTTAACGACATCTTTAAGGTTGGGTTAATTTTTTCGGATGTGATTAACTACAAAATATCTTTGAAATTACATTTAAACATTGTATCTGATCTTCATATACTGTAAGTAGGTTGTTGTAGAGAGCCTTAGGGCAGGCCTATGTCTAGAAGTGGACGTTGTTCAGCTGAGATGATGATAAAGTGGGTAGAAGAAAAAAAGTAGGTATCAATAATATTGATTATACCTCAGCCTATGCTTGTCCACTGCTGGACATAGGCCTCTCCCAATGATTTCCAGCGGGGACGGTTGATTGCGACGGTTAACATAGCCCAACGGATTAGCGCGCTCAAGTGGCAATGGGCAGGGCACATAGCAAGGAGAACTGACGGCCGATGGGGCAGCAAGGTTCTCCAAACGGACGACCTGGTAAAGGTTGCCGGAAACCGTTGGATGCAGGCCGCAATCAACCGTCCCCGCTGGAAATCATTGGGAGAGGCCTATGTCCAGCAGTGGACAAGCGTAGGCTGAGGTATATATACAGAAGATCAACTCCACCAAATCATTTAAATATACCTTGCTCTGCCTAAAAATAAGTTCAATGAAACTAGTTTTCGCCCAGATTGTGTGATTTGTAAAAATATTACGTAGATGTAACTGTCCTAAACGGAATTTTCATTATTTGTACTTATAGTGACGATGTTAAAATGTTGTATTGCAGATAGAGCGGTATCTTTTAGGTCCATCCACACAGTCGCACCAGGCACATGCACAAACAAGCAACCCCCCACCGCTGTCGGCTCTCGCATCAATATGTCAAGTAAGTCTTTTTGGTTATTAATCGTTATTAGTATTCCTTACATATTATGAAATGAAGTCCCCCGGCCGCGTCTGTCTGTCTGTCAGTATCAACGCGTTTAAAGCAAAAACGACCTAACGGACGGATTGAATTGATTTGAAAGGTTTTCACCAATAGATAGTGTGATTCCTAAAGAAGGTTTAATGTATAATTCATGATGGTTTTATGTAAATCGACTGAAATATAACGATTTTATTGAGGAGGTGGCAAAAAATCGTATATAACGGTTACCGAAATCCACGCGGGCGAAGCTGCGAGCGGAAGCTAGTAGAATATATCTTATATATCTTTTCTGTTCAATTAAATTAATCTTAATCTTGGCTCCATGCAACGTGCTCGTCCTTGCTGCATACCGTCGTGAGTTACACATTTTGCAGCAAGGAGAACAAACATTATTTTCGTACATGATAACTGCCCTAATACGTACCAAATAAAATAGATAGAGCCATTAGCTTTGCCTCGCATAACTATGTGGTGTCACACTACCTTCTCTCTAAAATCTGACACCAACACGGAATGTCGCTGAAGTACCCCCGCTGAAATCCCAGTCGCACATACCCAAAATAAAGACGTGAGTAGGCCACAATCTCTCCGCAATTCAGGTATGAAGCTACAAGGACATTGTGGCTTCGATTTATGTCGATTTGCCATATTATTCAGTGACCTTCCCCACGTCCCGTCCTTTAGATCCAACACACTGACTACACAGTACGTATTGGAAAATATAACAACTAAAATGAATACAAAAACAAATCATTTTTTGCGGATGCTCAAATAATAGGGATCGGAAAGCTTTCCACATTTCTAAAGAACATCGAAAGCCAAAGAAATGCAAAGGTATTTGTATCTTATCTTGGATACATTTGGAGCTTAGTAGTTCAATGAAAATAAATTTTGATGCAGTAACAAAGAGAAGGAAATCTTGACAATAAAATGATATTCAGATCTATATGCACTTTATTGTGTTAGACTGAAAGACTATATTTAATAAATAACTTGTTGACCCGGTGAACTTCGTTTCACGTAATTAATCTAAATACGCGACAATCAGAATATTGTTGATTCGAAACTCTTATTTAATTTAATACCTTTTTTAATTTCGGGATCTAAGTTTATCGTACTGACTTATAGGGCGAACATTAAATATGAGACAGGTAGAAAAATAGTACGGCTTTTTTATATAAATTTTCTCATCGTTTACACTTTCCCTGGACTTCCACAAATATTTCAAGACCAACATTAGACAAAACTGTCAATTTATTCTCGCGTTTTACTGAGACTAACGAACGGCAATTCATTTTTATATAAAAGATAATAAATAGGTATCTCGGATATTCGACATGCAACGCCATCTAGTTTCAAATTAAACAGAGCTTGTACTATGAAAACTAGAATGACCCCATAGAATACTTATAAACTTTTTATTTGTAAATACATACATATTGTATATAGAAAACACTAAAGATACAAAACAGATGCTTCGCGTCTGTGGCGTAGCAGTGGTACGTATATGTAGTGTGCGTGTGGTGTGGTCCGTAGGCGTGGTCGAGCGGGCAGCAGTGCGCGCGGCCGGTGCGCGTGAGCGCGGGCGCGGCCGTGGGCGCGCTCGGCGAGCTCAGCCCCGGCGGCGCGCTCATGCGCCACCACCACGCCGCCTCCATGGCCCGTGAGTACCCAAGAGCTCCTCCACGCGCCGCTAGCGCCTATTAGACCGTTTGCAACATCATGTCAACGATTAGCTGTATATGGGTATAATCACACGTGACCGCTTTTACTGAGCTGAAAAGAAATAGGTTGATCACTACACCATTAAAAATACTTACATAACACATTGATTGACCGTCGAGGTTCGTCATAGAATTGCTTTCTTAGTACTCTGCACGAAAAGGCAACGAAACTTGCAACGATTCTTCACGAAGTTTTACTTGGCCTTAAATAGAAAATAAAATAAAAAACAGTCCAATTGTGAACATCTCACAAACGAAAACCATTTTACTATCGAGATAGCTTCTAAAAGAATACGCATAGCACGCATGGCGTTTCACGATGGCTAAAGCACAATTCACGGATAAAATAGGTGCGGGCGCGGGTCTTGTTCGTCGCGTGAGACGCGCAGTTCGTTGTCTTCACACACAACGCGGGCGTGGCTGGTCGACCGCGGGTATGACATGCTAGCGGATGGCGACATATACAGTTTAATTGAAAATGTCCGGGATTCGAACACAAACGAAAAAATATTATTTCTACTAATTTTGAAAAGAAGAACGCGGAAACGAAAAGTATCGTGATTCATGAAATTAATTTAAAAAAAAAATACAAATGTAGAATTTCATCATCTGTGTAGAGAATTATTAAATATCAGAGATAATTCTCCTACAAACAACTATGTTCACGAACACAATAATTTTTTCATTAGGATCTATGGCTAATTTGCACATTTTTTGCAAATATTTACAACACACAGTCATGACACGCGCAGCGCACGACCCGCCTACACGTCAGTGTGAGTGCCTATTGGAGAATACGTGTATTACGAATAACAGAACGACGTTATGCCGGCCCAGACCCGTTCACCCACGCGCTGTCTGTAGTGGCGGGCGACAGGTGCCGCTCAGTACCCGCCCCGCACCCGCCCCGCGCATGTTTTCAGTGTGTCTTCCATATATATAATAATACAAGGAATTAGACCCGCTGCTCTCCCGTCCTAACCAGCGCCCGACCCGTACCCGCGATATGTGTGTGTTGTGCTCAAGGGCGGACTGACACTGAACTAATTAACCCGTTCCTTGATACTGTTCAGGTATTAATCAACCTATTTGTTTTGCGATGTGTGATTCTACGTGTACTCAGCTGATCACCGCCTAAGATATTTCTTTATTTCTGATAGTCTGGAATATGTAAACCCTGAATTACAGATCAGCAGTTACCCTGTGGCTAAACCAAAGAATATGTTATCTGTTTCATTAGTATTTTGTAAATTGTCTAAGAATAGCATATAGTGTATGTATTAGGAAAATTGGTTTATAAGATGGAGCCACTTATGTTTATATCAGTGCAGTAATAACTATCTATAAAAGACATACTAAAGGTATGTGTATTTTAAAATTATTAGGGAATGTAAATCTTTAAATGGTCAATATTGTTTTCAGAATTAATTCCTTCTGACGTAAAGTCGGAACTACACCGCATCTACCTGTCGGGTGGGGAGTTACTGCGGGAGCTGTGGAGATGCTTCCCCCAGCCCGGGGCCAGCGCTGAACCTGACGACACCGCGGCGCGAGCTGAGAAGTTCTATGAAGCGCTGCTCAGGTTTAGGAATGTTAAACTGAGGCCTTTTGAGGTTGGTCATCGGATATTCATACCCACAGATATCCTCTGTATTACTATTATTAGTTACTCACTAGGAGTTACTTTATTAGTTAGTTTAATCATCATCATCATCAATGACTGCCTCGGTGGTGCAGTGGTAGAGTATGCGACTGCTGTGCTGGGGTCCCGGGAATCGATCCCGGGTCGGACCAAATGTTTGTATAATCTGCAAAATTTGCCAAAAAACAAACTCACTTTCACATTTATAATATAAGTATGGATGTTTATCAGAAGTCTGGTTACCATAGTACAGGCTCCGCCTAGTTTAGAATCAAACGGCCGTATGTAAAACGTCTCATTAACTTTTACTCTTACTAATGCAGCAACAACTGGTAAAAGGTTTCTTACATGGTTCATCTCAAATATGAATGGAATTGCCGCATACCAGGATGGCTCTCGAATACATTTTTTTTTATTGGTCAAAGTATAGCGATAATATAGCATTGTCTTACTTAAAACTCTTTATTTCCTTCACCAGGAGAAAATGCTTCGAGATCTAACGCCGCTAGCGACATCTCTGACCCGACATATGAACCAGATGATCGACACGGCGTGCGCGAAGTACGCGATGTGGCAACAGAGGCAGGCCAAGCTCCGGTAGTAGTAAGTGTACCTGGTGTCGTCAGCAGAATTGTAACCATTGATTTCGAATGGGAAACATGAGGTGCTCCATATCAGGGGAATATTGATGAAAGCAAACACATTTATATAACGCTAAAAATAAAATAAAGCATTTATTTTGGTCTTTAGCTCTATTATTCTCCCGGTTTTTTTTCGAAGACACCACATACAAATCTATAATTCTATGTCATTTCGTACAAAAATCGACTGGTTCGGTTCTTTCTTCATTATATTCGTGTCACATATTTAAAAAAATGTTGAAGTAGTCGGTTACGCAATAAAAGATCAGTCGAAATAGTTTATTATTGAATAATTTTATTATTTTACGTATATTTATTTATTTTTTATAATGAACGTGTGCCAAAACCTGGTTTCAACCATTCAAGTTTACATTCAACATTATTGCATCATTTGTTACATCTATACGTATACATCCGCAGAGAAAATATGGTATTTTATATTGGCATGCCAAAACTATAAAACATGTTTATTTCATTTATGTGTTTTTTTTTGTAATTAGAATGCAAATAAATCATAATTTCAATAACTACCGTATACTGGTCAAAAATTTCATATCACATCTTCAGAATGGACTGTAAGTGAAATAATTTAAAATGCAATTTGTTTTAAATGATCAAAAAAGTGTCCAAAAAGAAGTATGCATAGAGGACTAGCCATACAATAAAAGAGTGTATACTGGTGTTATGTACGGGTTGTCATTTTCTTACGTTTTTAGCCACACAGGGGTTGAAAATAGGCTTTTTAATGTCCGTTTATATCACAATCATAAGTTCCACGCATTTGATCAGGGCTTTTATTCTAAGGGTGCGATATAACTTACTATAAAGTAAGTATAAAGCATTTTCACAAAATTAATTTAAAGTAAATTCTAGTGGCAACTCGGGGCATCCAGTTTTACTTTAAGAATTTTATTAAACTAAATTTTCCTGTGCCAGATTTTTAATTCTCTGATTACAACTGCGTCTCATAAAGTTATTATTAACAGGAAAGATAATAAGAACATTCTTCGTTAAGATAATTATGTAATTATTATGAGTGGTTTAATAATCAAAACTCGAATCCAAACGCTTTACTATGGTTAGATGCAATAGTTAGGTACAATTACAATAATATGCTTCTAGGGTCTGTGATACAGTTTTAGATAGAGCACAATGAAACATATTGTTCAGTGAGAGTAAATTTTTTAAACCGTTAAATACCGATAAATAATAATAATAATTGTAAAGTTATTTGTTCTGCTGACGGTACGTTTTGTATAAAGCGTCCCAGTTGTCAAATTGTCAATATTGTAAATTAATTGATGTGATGTGGAAACTAATGTTTATGAAATAGTATTATCTGTTAATTTTGCTGATCTGAGGTCTTCGATCTCGTTATTTTGTGTATCACTTTCATAAATATGACCTTATAATTAAGTTTTAATGGAAAGTATTCTCATATATTTATTTACCTTGATTTATTTGTCTATATTTATGTATTAGTGGCATCACATTCATTTTCCAGGCTGAAATGCACATAGATTTTAGAATGAAAAGCTTAGGATGGTATTTATTTTTCATCATCATCATCATCATCATCATCACAGCCTTAAATAGTCCACTGCTGGACATAGGCCTCCCCTTAGATAGGAGGTTTTGGCCTACTATACCTCGCTGGCCATATGGGTTGGTATAAGGTTTGTGGCAAGTTTTCCTTCTCTTTGCAGTGCTGTTGTCCTGCGTTGTTCTCTACCTTAGACGGCTCTTACGACTCCCACGGGTTGAATAGGGGTGGTGACACTCTGTATTCTTAATTCGTCACCACACGGACACACTCACTTTCACACTGTTTATTTTTACGTCGCAATAAAATTTTCAACCTGCCTTTATCATGAACAGTAATATAGGTATCTTCATATTAGTTTTTACCTTTTTAAACACTGTATTCATAGATTATGTTTTAAATATGTATATTATTTGAAGTAGTATTAACATACTATTGTATATTATGGCATACTACAGACAACTTGTTATTCCTTATATACCATAATACTTCGCAAAAATATGTAGGTAGGCAGAATAATTATCATCATCATCATCAACAGCCTTTAATAGTCCACTGCTGGACATAGGCCTCCCCTTAGAAAGGAAGTTTTGGCCTACTATACCACGCTGGCCAGACGGGTTGGTATAGGGTTTGTTTCAAGTTTTCCTTCTCTCTGCAGTGTTGTTGTCCTGCGTAGTTTTCTCCCTTAGTCGCCTCTTACGACACCCACGGGATGAATAGGGATGGTGACACTCTGTATTCTTAATCCGTCACCACACGGACAATTAAGAATAATTAGGTAGTTTTTTTTTGCTATGGTTATTTTTTATTATAACGGATACTCTCCATTACATTTTAGAATATATATTTCCTTCAACCCCGATATTGCCTTAAACATGGTTATACCAATAAATAAGACTGAATTTTTACATATGGCTATTCTGTTAAAAATCAAAGTTCTTCCCGTCACATCAATTTAATTAATAGGAATTGTAAGGATGTTTAAAAATATTATGTAATCTTAGTCTACGTTCGTATCTTCCTTTCGTAAATAACTACACAGGGTTACACTTATTATATATCTTTGATTACTTTTGTTTATGTAACATGGTAACACTGAAAAGGAATAGAACCTGTCCGTCTTGTTAGCTAAATTATACACGTATAATGATTTACGTACAGTTCTGATTAAATAAATAATAGAATAGAGTTAGCTAGAATTTAAATAATGGAAGGTAGTATAAAACATATCCAGTTAATCTGGCTTTGTTGTTATGTTATTCCAATTGTGGATTACGAACGTAGACCAAGATGAAACACATAATCTGTGAATACCGAATATCATTTAGATTTATTCATAGCGTGTGCCCGCGGACGCTCGGACTTATGGCGACTTATGGACTTATGTGCATTTTGTTAAACCAAATCTACTCAATGGATAGTACTGCACCTAATGTATTTTTCACTGCGTATCGGAGTGCTTTGTTAAAGAAAATGTTACAATGTTTCAGAAGAGGCAGACTTAGAACGAGTGTTATAAAAATGTACGTCATTTTAATTTTGCGTTTCCTTCGATGTAAATTGAAAATACTTTTGACCGGTTAAGAGTTCTGACTGTAACATATACACCTATTCAAAATGCTCCCCTAGTAGATTCATTGATTTGTTTGTATACATAGGTCTGACATTACATTCACACGGTCTGACGGTACATTCTTTCAATACTTTGCACAAATCATTTTAATTTCAATTGAGTACACCACTTAAAATTGAACGACTAAAATATAATTTATAGTTTGTTACACGAATTTAATATTATAAAATAGGTATTAACGCAGGTAATGTTTCTGTTGAAAGTGAAAATGTAATTCAAGCAATCAAGTTTTGAAGTTGACAATAGATCCGAGAATATATATATATTCTCGGAGTAGACAGTAACTTAGATTTGAACCGATAAATTCCAATATTTGCCATATAATATAATCTGAATTGTCCAGCTTCATAATTCAATAAAAATATGGTCTGTCATAAGGCGTGTGTTGCGGTATGTTCATTAGATGTTTTAACAGCCCTGTTTAGTAGTTAGCTTACATTACAAAAGCCCAAATGTTGAATACAAGTAAAATATTAATGTAATAATACCAACAAATACTCTTCAAAGTTCCAATACCGGTTGTAGATTATAAATAAAATATCGTTCATTAAGAAATTGGCGACAATAATCGCGTTTTAGTGTAAGTTGGAATATCCAAATTTATTTGTTACCATTATTGGTTGGTCTTAGTGTTTATTTGTCAAAATTTTATATGTATGTCAAGAATTTAGGTAAGCATACTGTCGTCCTTTGAATACATTTGTTTTATTTTTTTTTTGTTTTGAAGTACAATTTGACACAAGGTATGGTGGCTCTTTATCTGATAATTCGACAACGTTGTGTCATATAATTAAATGTATTAAATAAATATTTTTAAGGGCGGTTCGATGTTGATACAGTTATCAAATGCTGGAACCGAGAGTATATAACGGATAAACTTGTATTCCTTCAGTTCGTTTATTTTCCTTTTGACAGTTGCTTGAGAACGTAACTGGGTCGGAGTTTGTAAAATTAAACTTTAATATGTGCAGTTTGAATAATGTATAGGGTAACTGTTTGCATTTGATTATACCATGTTTACATTATTTTCTGATTATATGTATTTATGTAGACATTATGTTATGTGCATTTAGTATTGTTCAAAAAGAATTACGCAATAAAGAGTTACTTTCTATTGTACGTAGTGATGGGGACAAATCTTTTTATTTCAACATTTCTAAAGGTTTTTAATGTGAATAAAATCGGTGTTAGGTCATCACTAATCGAATATTTATCGAACTGTCGAGAGGATAATAAAAGAATGGACATAGCATAGTATTCGGAGTAGTTTAATTTAAATTGTGGAGTTTTATGTATGTGTCTGTTTAGATTATTAATAATTTATAATATTTACTTTAAGATGTCTCCGTTAATTTATTTTCTTAATAAGTACTGCAAAAATATGAAGTTCTGCATCTATTTTGTGTCAAATTGTAATTTTCCAAATTGTTGTATAGAAACGATTACTTTGTAGATCTCTCTTAAGATTATCCCGTTTGTTATAAACATTGTTAGATGTTATGTAACATCATTAATTCATCTAGAGTTTAAGTTTTCTGATAATAAAATAACTAATGTTTATAATCAAAGGGTACAATGATGTTCCTGAAACAATATGTTTAATAGTATCTAAACATTTTTTTTAATGTTCATTTCGTAATACGTAACATTAAATCTTTAGGTAACAGTGCACAATATTTGACATTTCCATTCTTACCTAATTATTTTAAATGGCAATGTGGAAGGGACGATCGAAGGGACGACTATCGATAGCAGACTTTAACAATCGATTGTGAATATTC